CTAAGTTTCCTCAGCAGCTCCTTATGCATCCGTGGAATTCTGCTGGTCCTGCTGCCACATTTCCTTCTATTCAGGATGCAACACTCCTGAGCTTGGAGCAGGTGATCCTTCAGTATCAACCAGCAGTCTTGGGCCCCCCTGCCCTCTAGGGCTGTATCCCATGGATCCTTACTAATCAGGTTCCTCAGGAGGCCAAAGTCTGCTCTCTTGAAGTCCAGGGCAGTGAGCTTGCTGCGTGCCCTTCTCACTGTCCTGAGGATCTCAAACTCGACCATCTCATGGTTGCTACAGCCAAGGCTGCCCTGGAGCGTCACATTCCCAACCAGCCCCTCCCTGTTGGTGAGCACGAGGTCAAGCATGGCACCTCTCCTTGTCGGCTTCTCTATTACTTGCAAGAGGAAGTTGTCTTCCACACAATCGAGGAGCCTCCTGGATTGCTTGTGCCGGGCTGTCCCGTCCCTCCAACAGATATTGGGATGGTTGAGGACAAGGGCTTGTGAGCCTAGCAATAGTTCAACACTATTGTGAAGCAATAGAAAACTAATACTGAAGAGTCACTGACTTTCACAGGATGTCACCTCATATCAGAGATTGCATAGTTGCCCTTAGACCAATAGTTACCTAGTCATAATACATTATTCTGAACCTTAACAGCAACAAATATAATAAAGCAAAATTGTGTTAGATAATCCCACAATTGGAGGAACACGTGTGGCTTAGATATGTGATTCCTTTGTTATATACTTTTTGTAAGATCAAAGAAGTGGTTAGATATCCATATAGTCTTTTATTACTTGTGCAATTATTTAAAAAAAGTATTTCATCAGCATGTATACTTTGGAGATGCTTCTCACAAGAGGTAAGTCAAAATCCTCACAGGACTTATTGTGCATGGCAAAGTGTGGTGTAAATGGAAAATACAGTAATTTGCATGAATTGCTTGCTGGACTATTGTAATATTGACTGCATGATTTGCCTCTTACATGCTTGGACTGCTGTAATGATCTGAATTTAGTGCTGCATTTGTTGATTTAGACACAAATTTATCCTGACAGTTTTATAGATAGACACAGAAGTGCTAGTCTTGCAAAATACAATCATGGTCTTGAAATATTTCCTGTAGCTACAGTAGATTTCAGACTGCATATTGGAGAAGCTTAGTTCTGTCCCATCTACTGAACTGTAGTCCTTACTTAATGTAGTTCCTTTTTCCAACCTTATTATCATGGAAGATGTGTTAATTTATACTGAATGCTCACTTACCAATTGTGTACTCACTGAGAATACTTCATCTCTTCAGAAGCTGTTCATTTTTTTCTTACTAGTGTGAACTGAGTTTGTCTTTGACACATAGCAAATTTTTAGCCACTCTGACAATTTTGAGGGTGAATAGATTTAGCTTGTTTCCCAAGTGAAATAATGTATCAGAAAAAAACCCAACCAAAAAAAAAAACCAAATAAGCAAACAAAAAACCTTTCCAGGCCCAAGACCACTTATTTGCATCCTTCAAAATGTCAGGTCTACCTACTTTCCTGACCAGCTCCAGAACAGGTGTTCATTATATAAAACGTTCAGTTGGCTGTAAAATTTGCTTTTCCTATAAGTCTCTTGGAATTCTAAAAGAAAACACGCGGATGACAAGAGCTGGGATGGCAATAAGCTTCCTTTGCTTTCATGTAGAAACATAACTCAGAATCTATCATGCCCACAGTTAACAACTCCAGAGAAGTTCCCGTGCAGTTCAGCTTATGTAACAGAAGTGTGAAACAGGAGGAAGAAGTCTGCAAATGGAAGCAACAAAAATGCAAAAGAAAGTCTTAAAATAACAGCATCTAGCTTTCTGTACCCAGCTCTGACTGTACTAATCCAGCATATATCTTGTCTCCTTTTCAATCATCACATGATTTTCATGGTGTATTAAACTAGTATTCATTATTCTTCTTTTTTCTGTATTTGACTCAAATCCTCGCTATACAGAGCAGTCAACCTACAGAATAAGAACAGCGTTTAGATAGCTGTGAATAATTTTAAGAGCAGAAAAGATTTAATCTACATGTAAAATAGATGTCAGGAGAAAAAAAAATTCTTCTCTGTTGAAAATTCTCTTTTTCTGCAGAAGCACACATATTGTTTAGTGGCTTTTTCAGCCATTGAACAGCCTAGGAGTGTAGCTGAAATAAATAATTACATATTTGTAAAATTTTAGGTACAACCCTTTGTGTCTCAACATCATCAGTGAATTCATTGTTTCACAGTTTGTGCCATCTCCTGAGATATTGTGTAGGTTTGCCAGTTCTCTTTAACATCTTCATGCAGGGAAACAAAGGCATTCCCACACCTCTGTTCCAAAGGATAAAAAACTTTCCTGTCTGCAGCATAAATGATACAAAACTTTAAGGTTACAAAAATTTCTTGTGATAGTTAATAGAAATCAAGGAGGGGGTGGGGAAGTGGTGCAAACTCATTTTGGTATACGCAGCATGCACCAGTATTTTTCATGCTAAAGAGCATTTGCAAGGAATGAAGCATACATGAAAACTTACACACTGCTTAGTGAAAAGGAGGTAGGGAAAAGCATCTCTTAAAAGAAAACTATCATTATTTTTATTTGGACTCTTCCTACTGTCTGCATTAGAAGATCAACATGCTTGGCCATGCTGTTATATGACTGTAAATTATATAAATTGTAAGATTTCTTTAGTATTTTCTTATATTCAAATCCACAACCATACTATACTTCATAAAGTGCTCCTTAGATTTTCTGCGTTACCTGTCTGCTTTTCTAAAACTTCATCCAAATTGCTTGTCTGTTTTAGGATTTTATATTAGCTAGTCCATAATGGACAATGTTAACTGTTTCCTCTTTTTGTGAGATAAGCCCACCAATTTTGCTCTTCATATTTTATATTAAACTGTCACATTACCAAGTCTTAGGCAATAAGACCTGTTCCCTGGTTGTTATTTCCATTTTTTCACACACTGTGCTTTTGGGGTAAACTGCCTGAAATTAGTGTTACCACTCACAGCATTATGTGTGTGCCATATAATTTCTAACTGAAACATATGTCTTAAACATTTAGCAGGAATAAATAAGCTTTGCTGTTCTTCCCCCCAGCTTGTGATGATGAATGCACAGGACTTCTTCTCAATGACCTGGATCGACTAAACCAGATGATCCTGAGTGTTAATCTTAGTGGTCCACTGCCTGCTCCATATAAAATGTTGCATGGTTTTGAGAACATGACACAGGAATTAAAGGTATGCTTACAGTAGTTACATACAGAAATAACAGGATTTCAGTACAACCGTATCATAGAATACCAGTTTGGAAGGGGACCTCAAGGACCATCTGGTCCAAACTTTATTGACAAAAGTACTGTTTAGACAAAATACCCCAGTACCCTGTCCAGCGAAATTTTAAAAGTGTCTGTCACTGGGAAGTCCACCATTTCCCTGGGGAGATTATTCCAATGACTGATTGTTCTTACTGTGAAAAATTTTCTTCTTGTGTTCTGTTGGAATCTCCCTGGGAGTAGCTTGTACCCGTTACCCTCATCTCTTCCATGTGACTCCTTGTAAAAAGGGAGTCTCCAACTTCTTTGTAGCCACCCTTTAAATACTAGAACATGGTGATAAGGTCTCCCATAAGCCCTCTTCTCAAGGCTGAAAGTTCCTCAGGCTTTCCTCATATGTCTTCCCATTCCATGGATCATCTATGTGGTCCTTCTCTGGACCCTCTTCATCCTGTCCACATCTTTTTCGTATAGTGAGGAACAAAACAGAACACAGGATTCTGGGTGTGGCCTGGCAAGCACTGAGTGTAGTGGGATAATGACTTCTTTATCCCTGCTGGTGATTGCCTTGCTGATGTAACCCAGCATCCTGTTGGCTTTCTTTGCTGTAGCTGCACGCTGTTCACTCATATTGAGCTTGTTGTCCACTAGGACCTCCAGGTCCCTTTCCACAGATCAGCTCCCCACCCAGGTAAAACTGAGCCTATGCTGCACTCCTGGATTATGTTTTCCTTTTTGCAAGACCTTACACTTGTCCTTGTTGAACTTCGTAAGGCTCTTGTTACCCCACTGTTCAGCCTATCCAGGTCTTCCTGCAGGGTGGCTCTCCCTTCCAAAGTGTCCACTTCCCCACTCAGTTTGGTATCATCAGCAAACTTGGTCAGGGTACACTTGATCTCATCTTCCAGATCACTTATGAAGATACTAAATAGCATTGGGCACAATATCAATCCCTGGGGGACCCCAGTAGTGACAGGTCACCAGTTTGAAAAGGAGCTATTTACCACCACCCTCTGGGTGCGACCAGTCAGCGAGTTCCCCACCCACCACACAGACTACTTGTCTAGGCTGTAACGTGTCAGTTTCTCTAAGAGAAGGCTGTGGGAAACAGTATCAAAAGCCTTGGAGAAATCCAGGTAGACAATGTCCACTGTTCACCCCACATCAACCGAGAAGGCGATAAGGTTTGTCAAGCATGATTTGCCACTGGTGAATCTGTGCGACCAGTCAGCGAGTTCCCCACCCACCACACAGACTACTTGTCTAGGCTGTAACGTGTCAGTTTCTCTAAGAGAAGGCTGTGGGAAACAGTATCAAAAGCCTTGGAGAAATCCAGGTAGACAATGTCCACTGTTCACCCCACATCAACCGAGAAGGCGATAAGGTTTGTCAAGCATGATTTGCCACTGGTGAATCTGTGCTGGCTTTTCCCAATCATGTGCTTCATTTGAGTTGTGACAGACCCAGGAAGTTTCATTCCATAATTTTCCGAGGGACTGAGGTAAGATTGATAGGCCTGTAATTTCCTGGATCCTCCTTTGAGCCCTTCTTGTAGATGGGGGTGACATTAGCTTTCTTCCAGTCTTCTAGTACATCCCCTGATCTCCACTACACGTCAAGGATTATGGAGAGTGGCCTTACAACATCAGCCAATTCTCTTAACACCCTCAGGTAGAAATTGTCAGGGCCCATCAATCTGTAGGAGTCAAGCTCCTGCAATATTTCATACGCCAACTCTTCCTTCACTGATCGTGGGTCTGTGTTTGCATCAACCTGGATTTTTTTCCCAAGGCCTGGGGTGCAGCAGTGGTGATAAAAACTGAGCTGAAGAATGTGTTGAGAACCTCTGCTTTTACGCCATTGTTGATGACTAATCACCTCTCCCATTTGACAGCAGGCCAATGTTTTCCTTCTGCTTCTGCTTGTTGTTTATGTGCCTGAAGATCCTTTCTTGCAGTTTTTGACATCTCTGGCTAATTTCAATTTGAGCTAAACTTTTGCTTTTCTAACTGCATCTCTGCACACCCTGGCAATGCCCCTTTAGATGTCAATGGGTGTTTGTCTGATTTTCCATCTCTGGTATGCTTCACTTTTGGTTTCAAGCAGGCTCAGAAGTTCACTATTAATCCAAGGGGATGTCTTGCTCTGTCTGCTTCCCTTACCTTTAAAGTGGATGAACTGGTTTTGTGTTTCCAAGAGAGTGTTCTTAAAAATCTCCCAGTACTCACTAGCTCCTTTATCCTCCATGAAAGCTTCATGTGAAATCCCTCCCAGCTGAGCTCTAAGTGAGCTGAAGTTTGTTCTTCTGAAATCTAAAACCTTTGTTTTAGTACTAACCTTCAGCGTGCTCAGCAGGATCCCAAACTCTACCATATTATGATGATTGCAGCCAAGGCTATCACTAACCTAGACGTTACAAAGCAGGTTTTCTTGGTTTGTGAAATGAGAAACTGGACTTGCAGTGCCTAATTCCTGATACTTGAATCTGTTCAAACATTCAGCCATAAACAGGTTCAGGGAAGAAGAAAAATTCAAGATCTAATTACTTCAAACTTGCTTTGGTTGTTACGTAGTTGTTATGGTTATTTATTTCATCTTATTTTAATAATGAAAACTTGCAGCAGTAATTTACATACATATGTGCAAGGAATTACACTGCAGGCACAGAAAAAGTGATGTTGCATACAAATAAAATTGTGTTCATGCTGGTGATCCATAAAGTGGTTGTGTATTTTATATACTATATGTTCCCTACTGCACTTAATAGGTTCTTCACTAAACTATGTAAAGGCGTCAAGATTCCTGGCAAAAGTATGTTGGATGGATGTGACAAAAGAGAGGATGACAAAAGGGAGTTGCATACTGTAATGAAAAGGAAATTTTTGATGCTTCTCCTCTGCAATATTTGGAAGCACTGAGATCCATTAAACACAGATTTTCACTCTCCCTCCTCTTCCCCAACAGCATTTGCTTTCACCTCAGAGAGCTCCAGAGAGATTTCTTCAGCTAGCACAAGAAAATCTGGATACCCTAGTGACAGAAATGGATGAACTACTGACAAGAGTAAGTCTATGATCACATCGGGGTCTGTGGGTTTGGTTAAGGCTGCATAATGACAGAAATCTTCTGCATATGAATTAAACATGAATGAATAGATGAATTATAAGACTTCTCAGTCTCTGTGTTTGAAATGGCAGCAAGTCCTCCAACAAACTCTTTTTGTGGGCCAATACATTGAGATGTATTTTCTGCAAAACTTTATAGTAATTTCAGAAAACTTTCTAATGCTCATACAGGGCACCCAAAAATGAGAATATTTGGAAAAGCTGACACTAAAGGAAAGAGAATTCATGATATAGCATTTAAGGGTTTTTCCATGACTTCAGCTACAGGTTAAAACAGCTACAAACCTAATGGCAATAAAAGCATGGGGTTACCACAGTTTCTCACATGTCTGGAGTTGTTTTGTTAGTTTTTTTGAGTGGCTGAGGTTTTAAGAAGCTGAACTGCCTGGTTTCCTTCCTTTTTTTTCTGAACATTAATACTGTCTCTGGTAAGGTTACCTGCTTTCTGCAGCAGCAACATCATCTCATTGTATTCCTTTTCAAACCTCGTAAGTCTGACTGCCTTGAGATCTCAGCCTGATTCTTTTTAATATTGCCTGTTGCAATACAAGTAGCCTGGCTTCACTCAGAGTTACTTAGTGCCTAACCATCTCAAGCACATTATGGGAAAAATTTTGCTGTTTCATTTTACATTTTGGGTTATCTGTTGCATTGACTTATTTCTCCAGGAGCTGTAGATCAAATGGTAGCCTAGCCTGAGCCACTTGTTTTAAAGATATTTTTTTAAGAGTCAATGAATGAATTGAAATGAGGACAATATCTAAAGGAAGAATTCAAATATATGCACAAGGTGTGTGAGTTTAGTTAAATATATGTTCTATATTTCATTTATGAGGGTAGTGAGAGTCTTCTTGATTTCAATCGATGTACTATTTACTCTTTTTATTAGGAAAGTTTCATTTCAATATAGACCCTATCTAGGTCGGTAAAAGACATTGCTAAGAAAATTATATAAATTGTGCCACCTAGTGGAGAAAAAAATAGGGAAGTGTACCAGCCACAATAAAAATACAGCTGTCCAAAACATATGAAGGACAAGCAAAAATCATATTCAGGAGTTGTGCTCTCCTGCGCTGAAACAGCCAAATAAGCAAGATATGGATTACTCTACTGACAAATATACACCTAAGAGAATTTACCTGAACCCCATACAGTTTTAGCATCATGTCTTAAAACTGTTCATATTTTACAGAACTGATATTCTCAGAGAAACTGGTTTGTTTGTGTGCATTATAGGCAATTTTGAAAAAACTATTAAGTCATGGGCAGTGGTTAAGAAAGTGTGTTTGCATATGTATGCACGTACATGTAAGTTTATGCACGTACATGTATGTTTACACACATACACACACACGCATACACAGGTATTTATCTATATATGCTGTCATTGTGAGTGTAAAGAAAGCTTGTTTTTTCACTTCTGTTTTATTTTTGTTTTATTGGGGTTTTTTTGTGTTGGTTTTTTTTTTTTTTTTCTTCCAGAAATAACTATGGTAGCTTTACGTCTAGGTGGATTTTTAACTTATGACAGCCCTAAAAAGCAGAGAAGATTATTTTTCTTGTATTAAGATTTTTCAACCTTAGTCTAAGACAGTCGGGTTTTTTTTATCCTTTGCATAGTTTCTCCTTTTAGTATCCTTTTCCAATTGCCACCACCACCACCAAAAAATAAATAAATTGAGATGTCCTAAAATAATGTTGCTAATTCTGAGCTTCTGTAGACTAGTCTTGGAAGGAAAAATATTGAAGGTGTAATTTTAGAGGAGGTAGTGTGGTGGCCAGGTAATCATTGCTTCTCTTTCTGCAGTTTTCTGTTGTTGCAATAAGTCAGTTGCAATGATTTCCAGTTATCCTTACAAAGAGTTGTTAACTGGATTGCAGTTGGGTTTTTTGTTTGAGGACCAGCAACTGATGGCAAGTCCTACCCTTCTCTTTCTCAGTTTGTAAATAGAAATAATGTCTCAAAAAGAAGAGTGGGTCCTGAAGTAGTGTGTTCAAGTCTCATTTCCAAATTAAGATATAGATAACAACCACATAATGGCTAATACTTGGAGTGCATGGTACAACCATAGATAGCAAAGTTTTTTCCTGTATCTGATTTGCAGGCTTACTACATTTTTAAGGTGAAACCAATAATAATGACGAAAAAGGTTGATGAGGATTGGTGAGGAGTCTATTTCCATGAAAAAATAAAAAAAATCTACCCATTTTAAGATTAAATGTAGAAGACAATAGTATTTAGCCACTACAAAACCTCTGGGGTTTTTGATTCCTTATGGGAGGTCTCTTTTCAACCAGTGATCTCTTACATCAGTGCAGCACTCCTTTTTCTTTTTTCCCCATCATATTCCTTCCTTCATTCACTTGGCCATACAGAAGGACTTCACATCTTTCTTACACTGATTATGTTTACAAGTTTGCATGCACATTCCCACATCTCTGATCCTAGGCAGAGCTCAGACTCTTCTGTTCCTCTCAGTTGATATTTTTAGTCAAAAGCCCCTCTTCTAATTAGGTACCTCAAGAAAGACACAGATCAGAATCACACCTCTTGATTGAAAAGCTTCTTTTGATTTTGTAAACTTTTTCATTTCTCCCATACCACTGAATTTCTCAATCTCAAAAATTTCTGGAAGTAGTAGCAGAGGCAACTTATTTTGCAATAGTTCAGAGCATTTGGAGGGAGGGCCAAGAACTTCCATCTGTAGAATGAGGTCTGTGTTTACTACTCCTTCTGTGGTCTGCAGCTCAAGAGCTGGAGAAGTTCCTTTAGGGCTTCCCTCCAGATACCATCCAGAGGATCACGGCTTGATTAAGACTTCAGACTAAATGCACAAACAAAATCAAAACAAAAACATTCATGCAATTTCTAATACTTGCTAATAGTTTAAGTTGCTAAGTGGCTACTAATCTTCAGACAAGGGCTTCCCTGGAACAAGGGACAAGGGCTTCCCTGGAAACTTCATGAGTAAATACAATCTGTGAACATCATCAAAGCAGGCTCACTGATCTCAGATAATTTCTTTACTAGATTTCCACTGTAGGGGTCTCCTTTATGCCAGAAAGTCTAATTTGTGTATCATTCCAAATCCTTACTCTGGGTCCAGTCTGCCTGACCCTTAGCACTGCCACAGGAAGAAGTTTGTTATGCCTGTTTAAACTGTTAGGAGATGCTGAAGACTGACCTTATAGAAATGGCGAAAAAGTAATAAAATGAATATACAGAAAACGAATAGGACTTTATTAACAAATGGAAATATTTAATTAGCCATGGAATCACTAGGTACGCTATGAAGGATGTTTCCATTTAATTTGGTTTATGGAGTTAAAGCCAGACCAGATAATGAAGCAAAAGGTTATTTTTCAGCAAAGCAAATTATGGTAAAATACAGAAAGCCTTCAGTGGAGCCCAATGGGATTTAAGTACTGAGAGGATGTGAAAAATGCTCAATTAGAGATGAATGTGCACAAAAACGCAGTGCATGGCATTCAGTCATAAATACTAAGAGGTTAAAGTGGCCAACTGGAATTAACATGAACATGGAAAAGTAATCAAAAGCAAGAAAAGTATATGTAAGTTAAAAAATCACCATTTGTAGTAAAAGACTAGAAATATTATAGAATATAACAAAAGTGAATGTGAAAATTCCAAGCAAATAAAACCTGGAGAATAAAAGGCTGATTGTGGAGGATTTGACAATAAATATTAAAGTAGTTCTCAATTACATGAAGAATGAAATGACATCAGGAATACCAAGCTGAGTCAGAGCAGTGGTTCATCAAGACCATTCTGTATTTTTTTCCTTTTTCCTATCTCAATTGCTTCTTACATCTATGATAATATTTTCATTCTGTGTCCAGGCAGGTAAAGGGGTAAATCTTTGTAAATCTTAGAGGAAGTAACCAATAGCATGATTAAAAATGTAATTTTGCAAAAATAGTGTTCTTCTACCGATACAGGGATGAAATAGAACAAACTCTCCCCAGTCAGTATGAGTTCCTAATTCTTCCTGTATAATTCTATTTACCTGAACCATGTTCATATAAATTATTTTCAGAGTAACTACTCTGAAGTAGACCAGAACCGTAAGTGGTATGAGAATGGTAGAGATTTCATTTCAGAAACCCAGCTGTCCTCATGTATCTGGAGGGCTTCCACCTAGAAGCTAATCAGGCAAAAAGAAATGTATTAAAGTAATACTATTTCTCTTTGACTATTATTGAAAACGGGGG